AATTCACCATTAACTAAAATGTTACAGTAAGTTTTTGTGGATGACTTTCATCAGTTTAAGTTCCCTTTTATTTCTAATATGCTGAGTTTATTTATCATAAATGAATTTTCAGTCAGGCAAACGGCTCCTGCCTGTAATATTGTCACTTTGTGAGCTCACAGATGGTGGATTTCTTGAGCTCAGGAGTTCGAGACCAGCTTGGGCAACATGGCAAAATTCTGTCTCTACAAGAAAAATTATATATATACAAAATGAGCTGGGAGTGGTAGTATGCACCTGTAGTCCCAACCACTTGTGGGGCTGAGATGGGAGGATCATTTGTGCCACGGAGGTTCAGGCTGCAGTGAGCTGTATTCACACCACCACATTACTGCCTGGGAGACAAAGTGACACTCTGTCTCATACATACATACATACATACACACATACATATATACATACATAGATTTTCAATTCCGTGCTGTGCTTTTGCTGAGTCTACTGAGATTACCACGTGATGCCTGCTTAACTTTATAAACATAATGAAATATATTGACTGATTTTTTTGAATTTTAAATGAACTTTGTATTCTTGTGATTAAAACCATTTACTCATGATTGACTTTTCTTCCTATCTATTGCTTAACTTATTTGGTAATAACTTGTTAATATTCATGTCTACACATGAACTCTACTAATCTGTAAAAAATGCTTTAAAAGGTTTTTGTGTCAGGTTTATTCTAGACCTGTAAAATGAGTTGAAAAGTACTTATTCTTTCTTTATTTTTTCTTATTTTACTTTGATTCTTCTTTAAAAAAATATAATTTATCTATTATATATTTAATAATATTCACCAGTAAATTTATCAAAATGTAGGGTTTATATGGAGGCAAAAGAAAAACACTTACAAAGTGAATTCTATTTTATATAAGATGACTTAACTTTCTCTATTTTGTCTTGAGTCAATTTGGGTAAGCTGAAATTTTAAGGAATTTTTCCAATCCATCTACATTACAAAATATTTAACATAATTTAAAAAATATTTTCATGTCTTGTTTAATGCCTGGAAGTCCTGTGATTTTTTTTTGCCTTTTTCTTCTTAATAATAGTAATTATCCCTTCCTTCCTTCCTTTCCTTCCTTCCTCTCTCCCTACCTTTCTTCTTTCCTTCCTCTCTCCCTTCCTTCCTTCCTCCCTTCCTTCTTTCCTCCCTTCTCTCTTTTTTCCTTCCTTCCTCCCTTCTTTCCTTCCATCTTTGCTTCCCTTCTTCCTCTCTCCTTCCCTTTCCCTTCCTTCCTTCTCGTCTCCCTCCTCCCTTTTTTCTTTCCTTCCTTCCTTCCTTCCTTCTTTCCTACCTCCCTTCCTTCCTTCCTTCCTTCTTTCCTTCCTCCTCCATTTTTTCTTTCCCTCCTACCTTCCTCTATTCCTTCCTTCTTTCTTCCCTGCTTGCCTTCCTTTCTCTCTTCCTTCTTTCCTTCCTCCCTTCCTTCCTTCCTTCCTTCCTTCCTTCCTTCCTTCCTTCCTTCCTTCCTTCTTCCCTCCCTCCCTCCTTCCTTCCTGTCTTTCTTTTTCTGTCTTTCTGTCTTTTCCTTTTCAGTCCTGGTGAGGCTTGATTCACTGATTCTCTCAGTTACTGTTTTGTTCACTACTTTGCCCACTATCCTATGCTTTTACCAGACTCTGTATTTGTGTTCATGGTTAATAGTTATCCACACAAATGTTTGCTGATACAAGCCATTTCACCTTACAAAATGTACATTATCTAGTATGTTTTACATATATTTATAAAATGATTTTTTAAATAATCCAGTTTTTTTTTGAGATGGAGTTTTGCACTTGATGCCCAGGCTGGAGTGCAGTGGTGTGATCTTAGCTCACTGCATCCTCCACCTCCTGGGTTCAAGTGATTCTCCTGCCTCAGCATCCTGAGTTGGGATTACAGGCATGTGCCACCACACCCAGCTAATTTTTTGTATTTGTAGTAGAAATGGGGTTTCATCATGTTGGCCAGGGTGGCCTTGAACTCCTTACCCCAGCTGATCCACACCCCTGGACTCTCAAAGTGCCAAGATTACAGGCATGAGCCACTGCACCCTGCCTAAAATTAACAGCTTTTTAAATGCATTCCATAGATTTTTTTAGACCCATTGTTCATTTTTTATTTCATTATGTGACTTGTGTTTATATTTCTCCCTTGACCCTAATATAATTTTGAATTTACAAGTGTTTAAATCTCTTTATTTGCTTGTTTGCTTCATTATATTACCTTATGCTAGTATTACATTGAGATAATCCGATGTTGGACTTTTTACTTATTCATCATAAAACTGATTCTTCCTTCCTGGATTAGGATAATGGGACCATTGATGCATGTTTAAAGTATACTTGGAAAAATTTTATTCTCTATTATCAGCACATGAACTTTGATATATATCCAAAATATTTGTTTTGTATCGTTTTTCATTTAACAATTCAACATCCTTAGTTATGTCTGTCACCTAAGCTGTGCAGGAATGTAAGTGGAGTGTTAAATCTCTTATTGTCAATGTGTCTGTATTTATTTTTTCTTAGATTTAATAAATTAAAATATGTAATATTGTAATTCTTCTCCTCAGAATTTGGTGTAATACTAATTATAACTTCAGCTGATTTCTTTCTGTAGAAAATAGCATACTGGTTTTATGATGTACATGAAAATAAAAGGTTTTGAATAGCCAGAAAAAAGTTGAGGGATTGTACAATGTTTTTCAAGATTTTTTGTAAAGCTACACTAATCAAGACAATGCCATAGTGTCATAAACATATAAAAAAATAAAAAGCAGTGCAGAAAGTCTTAAATAGGTTCATTTATGCTCAATTAATTTTGACTAAATTACCAAGACAACTAAATGTGGAAGAGTTTTTATTTTTTCTTTCAATAAGTGTTGCTAGAACAATGTAACAAAACCATTTCAACTGTCTTGCACTGCTTGCAGAAATGTAAGATGGTGTAATTGCTTTAGAAAAGAATCTGGTAGCAAAATTTGGATCTACCATATGGCTCAATTATTTTGCTCCTAGGTATTTATTTACACGAGGTAAATTAAAATATATGACCACACAAAGATTTACACATGAATGTTTATAGCAAGTGGAGACATCTAATTGCACAAAACTAAAAGAAGAGGAAGAGGAAGAGGAAGATGAGGAGGAGGAGGAGGAGGAGGAGGAGAAGAAGAAGAAGAAGAAGAAGAAGAAGAAGAAGAAGAAGGAAGAAGAAGGAAGAAGATGAAGAGGAAGAAGAAGGAGGAGGAGGAGGAGGAGGAGGAGGAAAACTTAAGTGCTTGTCAAAAGATTAGTGATTAAACAATGAAATACCACTTAATAGAAAGAAAGATGAAATTGACACATGCAACATAGATGACTCTTAAACTGATTATATTGACCAAATGATTCCTGCCCAAAACTAAACCAAACCAAAACAAAACCTTACATATTCTATTATTCCATTTATGTAATTCTAGGTATTATAAACTAAAACATTATGACATAAAGTAGCCAGTTACCACCTGGGATGAAGGAGGGTATGAATTATAAAAGGGCATGAGGAAACTCTTGCAGAAAATCACCATATTTATTATCTTGATTGTAGTAATAATTTTCTAGAATTACACAAACATCAAACTCATCAAAATATACATTTTATCTATGGCCAGTTTATTTTACCAATTATATGTAAAAGTATACACAAATGACGAAGCTTACCTCTAACTTATTTTCTTCCAAGCAACCACATTTAAGAAGATTGTGGTGCTAACATGAAAGGTAAAACACCACAGCTTCTAACAGAGAATATCTCCATAGCCTTGGGCACCAAAGTATTTCTTGAGTAAGACAAATTGCTTAACACAAAAAAATGCTAATAAATTGGCCAGAATACCTGAAAATACAATAAATATCCAAAAAAATCAATTCGGATAATAGGGAAATATATTTGCATAACATACGGCCAACAAGGAAGGTTTTATTCAGATGTAATAAAACCCAAAATACCAATTTATAAAAGACAGAATACTCAATAGCATAATGGAAAAAAGTATTAAACAAGTACTTCAAACAACAGAATATTTTAAGGACTAATAAATTTTTGAAAATATTTTCAAACCAATTAAATCATACCATGGAACAGCTTCTCTATGTGAAAAACTAAACATGCAACAGAAAGACCAATAAAAAGACTGAAGGACAAGTATTGGCAAGAGCAGCAGAAACTCTCATATACTGCTGATGAGTACAAATATTGCTACAACTGTCATGAAAAAATTGTTTGGAATTTCCTACTGAATTAAAAATATGCATTACTTCTCACCCAATAATTGTACTCCAGAGGTTATACCAAACAGAATTGCAGGTGTATATGCACCAAAGGACATGTATAGATTTTTCATAGCAGCATTCTTTATGATCTTAAAAATTTTAACAACCCAAATATTCATCAATAATTGTATAGATATATAAAATATGATCTTTTATGCAATGGAAAACTGTGTACCTGTATGCTACAGTATATACATAAGCTATTTATGCAGAACATAGATGAATGTCACAAACATTATTTTGTACAAAGAAAGCCAGACACAAATAATAAAAACTGGAATATTCTATTCATTTATATAGAGACAATGCTGAAAAGACTAATCCAGATTGTTGAAAGGCAGAATTGTGGCTAACACCTTCAATTTATTTTATTATTATTTTATAATGACTTTATTATATCACATTATTTTTAATTTTAGATTGCAAAAGGATTAATGATAGAGGGAGCTTTATCAGAAAATTTGAATTTTCACCTCTCTTAGGTTTTAGTTATCTTGAGTCACTGTGATAATTCATTGTGCTCTATACTCATGTTTTGTGCATTTTCCTCTATGTGCATTATATTCAATGTAAAATTAGACTAAAACAATAAACTAACAAATAGAGATGAAGTGTGGTTAAAGCAGTACACTACTTTGGGAGATACCAGGAATAACTGTGAAGCGTTGACTTTTTAATGTATTTTTTTTTTCAACAAGAGAGGGAGAAAGAAATCAGAGTAAGAAAATGACTGAGCAGTTTCCAAAGAGAACACAGCACATCTCTTGTGTCATTAAGAAATAAAATAATGCATAGAAAAGCAAACTTGGAGTATTTTGAGCTGAAGTCCCCATGGACTTGAGGAGATTAACTGATTAATCTTCTGTGGAAATATTTCTTGCCCCTGTTTGCAAAGAGGGGAATAAAACATTAGCATCATAAACTCAAAAAGATTTTTATTATGTGCACAAGAGCAAGGTTTATGAAACCTTTATTTCTGCTTTATCCTTACTTTTCTCTCTAATATTCACTGACCTCCCTCCCACACCTTTATTTTTTTGATTATTTATACTAGATTACATTCTTCAGTTTCACAGGTGATAGGCGTGGAGTTCTTTGCTTAAATTGGTGATTGAGTATATTATTATACCATACTCAGTGTATGCTTTATTCCAGATATAACTACCTGCACCTCCTCCCACAGGCCTTAGCCAATTGCCTTACTTCTAAGCCAGAAAAGCCCTTCTGATGGCTCATGCCATTTAGCAGGTAAAAGCCACATCTGTTTTCTGTGTTGCTGCAGCCACCATAGAACTAGTAGCTCTCACATACAGCGTCAGCTGACAAGAGACCATCTGCTTTCCCCCAGGGAAACTACATGCACAAGCTCTGGCTTCTTCAGGGGATGCCTGGAAGGGCTGCACAACAGAACATGGAAGTGCTAGGGAGGTAATGTCCTTTGAAGTAATTCTGAGCAAGTGAAAGAGAATCTAGGACTATACAGAAATGGGAATGTTGCCATAAACATCTCCGGAGACATGACAGTTCAATGAGAAAGCAGATGTGCTTATTGGGAAGCTGTAGCCAATTGGTTAACTCACCACATTACATTTTCTTTTTTCTGCCTTTCTTTCCAATTTTGCAATCCATTTTCCCTAGGATTGCATCCCTCCAATAAGGCATTATCATGTAAGCTTTGGCTTCAAGCATTGTTTTTCTTAAGGAGTCCAAGTTAAATCAATCATTAATGCCATTTTGTTCTAACCTCTTCTCTAAACAATAACAGGGTTAAGGCGTAAAGCTTGTGCTAAAATGGAGACTTTCTTTTTTAGAAGCAAATTAATCTATATGGTGATAGAACTCAAACCCTTTGCTCATTATCTCATTAATCATCTATATTATGTGACTAAGCTAAATGAGTCAAACTATTATGAATAAAATGTAAAAAATAAAATAACTGGAAGAAAAAATCCTGGTACTTGGCAAGAAATTAATATGGAAAAAAATGCTTGCGTGAATGAACTACATTACTACATTTCATTATTCTTGCTGGTGACTTGTTTCCTAGTAGTACAATATTATTGTTAGCCCTATATTATCATATAGTCAAACATAATGCATTACATTACATAATGTACTATAGTCCATTTAAGCAAATTGTACTGGAAAAATGTGGGACAAGTCTTAAGTATATGGTTTTTACAGTGCTGTCTTTTTAAATGTTTTTAGAGCATTAAGAACTGTGCTGACCAAGGCAGACAAAGATGACATAAAGATCAGTGGCAGCTCACTGGCATTAAGTCATTTATCAAATGCTGACAAATCACTGATAATTTGTATTGATTCTCAAGCTGGGCTTAGTGAACTGAAAAGCTAAATCCAAATACACACTGAACTAGAATTGGAAACTTGACTGCCTCTGTCAAATCAAAGTCAAGTTAAGCTGAAACTTTACCTTATTTCTGTACATTCAGCTCCCACATTCTGTGAAATTGAATAAAACATTTAGCTTAATTGCTGTAAACTCAAGATAGTTTTTGCTGTTAGGCACCAAAACATTACCAAGAGTCACAGTGGATTCCAAATTTGCATTTTTGCAATGGAATCTATCTACCAGGGCCAAAGTTTAATTACTTGAAACCAGCAAAATTTCACTTGTTTAAACATGGTTTCAAAACTCATCTTTTGAAATTCTTGTTGTTTTTGAAACACATACTATAAAGTGCTATATTTAATATTTTACATAACATACTGAAAATAAACTCACATGTTTATATGCTTTTTGTCAGTGATCTGTTGGTTTGCATGTACATATTCCATGTTCATGGTTAGGAATAATCAGTATCATGAAAATGGCTATACTGCCCAAAGTAATTTACAGAATCAATCCAATCCCCATCAAGCTACCATTGACTTTCTTCACAGAACTGGAAAAAACCACCTTAAACTTCATATGGAACCAAAAGAGAGCCCACATAACCAAGTCAATCCTAAGCAAAAATAACACAGCGGGAGGCATCACACTACCAGACTTCAAACTATACTACAAGGCTACAGTAATCAAAACAGCATGGTACTGGTACCAAAACAGAGATATAGACCAATGGAACAACACAGAGACATCGAAGACAACACAGCATATCTACAACCATACAATCTTTGATAAACCTGACAAAAACAAGCAATGGGGAAAGGATTCCCTGTTTAATAAATGGTGTTGGGAAAACTGGCTAGCCATGTGCAGAAAGCAGAAACTGGACCCCTTCCTGAAACCTTACACTAAAATTAACTCCAGATGGATTAAAGACTTAAACGTAAGACCTAACACCATAAAAACCCTAGAAGAAAATCTAGGCAAAACCATTCAGGACATAGGAGTAGGCAAGGACTTCATGAACAAAACACCAAAAGCATTGGCAACAAAAGCCAAAATAGACAAATGGGACCTAATCAAACTCCACAGCTTCTGCACGGCAAAAGAAACAGTCACTAGAGTGAATTGGCAACCAACAGAATGAGAAAAAATTTTTGCAGTTTACCCATCTGACAAAGGGCTGATATCCAGAATTTACAAAGAACTCAAACAGATTTACAGGAAAAAAAAAAAAAAACAAAAACAAGCCTATTCAAAAGTGGGCAAAGGATATGAACAGACACTTTACAAAAGAAGACATACATGAGGCCAACAAACATACGAAAAAATGCTCATCATCACTGGTCATCAGAGAAATGCAAATCAAACTACACTGAGATACCATCTTATGCCAGTTAGAATGGCAATCATTAAAAAATCTGGAGACAGAACTTTTCAAGATGGCGCAGTAAGAACAACTCGGGATTGCAGCTCTCAGCGAATACTCAGAGGGTGAGTCAAAGCCACATTTCCAGACAGATCTTTGTTGCCCACAGAACGGGGAAAGTCCCAGGTGTAGGAGAGATATGGGATGCAAAAGCAGCCGATTCGGCTGTTGCAGCCACTTTGGCTGGCGCAGCAGTGCAGGCACTCCCCAGCAATCCGCACAAAACACATGGGCCTGGGTGCCCTGCTAAACTGGCAATCTGAGATTTGGGAGGGCAGATTAGCATATCCATCTGATTAAAAAGGACATGGACAGTGAGCCAGACCAGAAGATTCCTGGGAAGTGGCATTTGAGCCAGCCCAGTGACTAGCTGCACGGGAAATCACACAGATCCTGGTGCTCTAACAGCGGGTGACCAAAACACCTGGGAGAGAGCCATCCATTCAACTTAAAAAAAAAAAAAAAAAAGGTGCTCTGAGGCAGGGAGCCAGGTGAGTGGGCTCGGCCGGTTTCACCCCCACAGGGACAAACAAAATGGCAACTCAAAACACTCCGAGTGGAGAGTTTCACTGAGAGCACAGCTGAACCCAGGATGGATAGCTCGGTGGGTGAGGGGCGTTTGCCATTACCGAGGATATCTGCCCTTACGGAGGTACACTCCCATTGCTGATGCAGCCTGCCATTGCCGAGGCAACACACCATAATAGAGAGACTCCGCTGCAGGGCGGAGCTGGTGGCAGCAGGGTGGAGCTTGCCGTGGAGCCCGCAGCAACAGGGCCCACACTACATCAGCAGGGCGGAGTCTCGGCAGGCAAATAGTGACTAGACTGACTCCGAGCTGGGCAGGATAGTGCCACGGACACTCATAAAGAAAGCCCCAACCCCCCCGAGACAGAGCATCTGAGGAAAAAAAGGGGTTCTAAGAGTTGTGCTGCAGCAGAATTAAACGCACCTGCCTAACAGCCCTGAATGAACAACGGAGCTCACAGCTCAGCACTTGAGCTCCTATAAAGTACAGACTGTCTCCTCAAGCAGCTCCCTGACCCCTGTATATCCAGAATCACCTCAAGAAGGACTGATCAGACTGACATTAGGTGGGCAGCATTCTGGGACAAAGATAGCAGAAGAAGAAACTGGTAGCATCCTTCACCCTTCTGCAGCTGCTACAGGTGTACCCCAGACAAGCAGGGCCTAGAGTGGTCCTCAGCAGTTGTACAGCAGAGGAGTTAGACTGGCAGAAGAAAAACCAAGTAACAGAAAGACCTCATCATCAACAATCTGGGCATCCACTCAGAGACCCAATCGAAAAGTCAGCAACTACTCAGACTACAGGTGGATAAATCCACAAAGATGGGAAGAAACCAGTGCAAAAAGGAGGAAAACACCCAAAACCAGAACACCTTGCCTGCTACAAAGGACCAAAACTCCTCACCAGCAAGGAAACAAAGCTGGATGGAGAATGACTGTGATGAAATGACGGAATTAGACTTGAGAAGGTGGGTAAGGAGAAACTTCTGTGAGCTAAAGGAACATGTTCTAAATCAATGCAAAGAAACTAAGAACCTTGAAAAAAGACTTGAAAAAAGATTTGAGGAAATGATAACAAGAATGGATAACTTGGAGAGGAATATGAATGAATTGAAGGAGCTGAAAAACACAATACGAGAACTTCGTGAAGCATGCACAAGTTTCAACAGCCGAATTGACCAAGCAGAAGAAAGAATATCAGAAGTCGAAGATCAACTCAATGAAATAAAATGAGAAACCAAGATTAGAGAAAAAAGCGCAAAAAGGAATGAACAAAGGCTCCAAGAAATGTGGGACTATGTGAAAAGACTTAACCTACATTAGATAGGTGTACCAGAAGGGGACGAAGAGAATGAATCCAAGCTGGAAAATACTCTTCAGCATATTATCCAGGAAAATTTCCCCCACCTAGCAAGGCAGGCTAACTCTCAAATCCAGGAAATACAGAGAACACCACAAAGATATTCCTCAAGAAGAGCAACCCCAAGGCACATAATTGTCAGATTCAACAAGGTTGAAATAAAGGAGAAAATACGAAGGGCAGCCAGAGAAAAAGGTTGGTTCACCCGCAAAGGGA